CTCAGCTAGAATGCTCAGTATAATCAGCTTTATGAGTTTAATTAGTTACAGAGAGCTATTGATGAGTTAAGTAAGTGGGCAAAAATTTGGCAAATGGAGTATAGTGTGGAAAAATGTGAAGTTGTTCATTTTGTAAGGGAGAACAGAATATTATATAAATGGTGAGAAACTGCAGAAATTCACAACAGAAAGGGACTCTGGGCAATTTGTGCATGAAAAACAGAAAGCTAGCACATAGGTGCAACAAGTAATTAGGAAGGCTAATGGAAGGCTTATTTCAAAGGGATTGGAGTATAATAGTAGGGAAGTCTTACTGCAACTGTACAAGGTGCTGGTGAGACCACATCTGGAGCACTGACAGCAGTTTTGGTCCCTTTATTTATGGAAAGATACCATTTCATTGGAGGCAGTTCAGGGAAGGTTCACTAGGATGATCCCTAGTATGAAGGGATTGTCTTATAAGCAAAGATTAAATGGGGTGGTACTAGGCCTGCATTCAAGTCCCACCTGCTCCAGAGGTGTGAGATAACATCTCTGAAAAGGTTGATTAGAAAATAATTTTTGGAGTTTAGAAGAAAGAGAGCTGATCTCATTGAAACATGAGATTCTTAAGGGGCTTGACAGGGCAAATACAGACAGGAAGTTTCCCCTCATGGGAGAGACTAAGATCAGAGGCCATAGCCTCAGATTTAAGGGGTGCCAATTTAAGAGACAGTTAGGGAGGAATTTCTTCTCTCAGAAGGTTGAGTGTCTTTGGAACTCCTTACCACAGAGAGGTGTGGAGCAGAGTCCTAAACAGCAGTCAATGCAAATTCAATTGTTAAATTTAAATCTGAGATAGACAATTTTTTTATTAAGCAAGGGTTTCAAGGGATATGGGCCCAAGACAGGCATATGGAGTTTGGCCACAGATCAGGCATAATCTTATTGAATGGTGGAACAGGCTCAAGGAGCTGAATTACCTACTCCTATTCCTCCTATCTGATTTTGATAGATTTTTGATCAGTAGGGGAATCAGGGGTTATGGGGAAAAGGGCAGGAAAGTGTACATGAGGACTATGGGATCAGCCATGATTCTGTTGAGTAGCAGAGCAGGCTCAAGGGGCTGAATGGCCTACTGCTGTTCCTATTTCTGATGGGCTTATCTTCCTCATCCAATGTAGAAGGGTCAATCTGCAGGTATGAGTATCCAGGTGCCATTTTTTTTTAAAAAACAGATCTCAGCCAATAAATGTGAAAGTTTGTAAAATTTCTCTTTTACAAGGAGCTATGGAAATTAAGAGAATTCAAAATTAAATTGATAACTGGTTCATCATAATAATTACATTCAAAACAAACCAGCTTTCTGGTTTATAATTTCACAAAGTGGCCATACAATAGAATTTTCCATTAAGTTTAGAAACCACGCACTTCAAGCTGAAACTAAGGAATTAAATCTAAACAGAGGGTGTTATGAGGAGTAAGTTGGCTGTGGTTGACTGAGAAAATACATAAAAAGGCATGAACATAGACAGGCAATGGCTAGTATTTAAAGTATTAATGTGTGGTTTTAAACAAACATATATTCCATTAAACACAAAAAGGAAGTTAAATATTGTAAAAGATCAAAGGAGGTATGTAAAGTTGCCAAATCAAACCCGTGGATTGGGAGAATTTGTTTAATTCAACTAGGGAAATCTTAATACCTTTTTATGTAAATGCACACAGTTTATGAAACTAATAAATGAATTCACAGCACACATAAAGGTTAATGAGTCTGATGTTTTGGCATTTTGGAGAGAATGGTTACAAAAAAATCATAGCTGGGTACTAAATATTCAGGGACATAAAAGGTCAAACAGAAAGGGAAGAGTTGTGAGGTAGCTTTGTTAGTACAAAGTTGAACAAGTATGAGAACAAGGATTAATCTCAGATTGGATTATGTAGAATAGAGTGAAGAAGACAATGGTAGTAGCAGTCTTTATTCACCTCAGCAATGGCTGTACTGTAGGACAAAGAGAAATCAGCATATAATGAGGGCATGTAAAAATAGGAATACATTAATCATGGGTGACTTTAATCTTCATGTAGATTGGGAAAATCAAATTGGTAAAGGTAACCATGAGAAATAATTTAGAATGTGTACTTGGAGCAATTTCCAAGAACAATATGTTGTGGATCCAACCACGGTCAGGTTATTTTGGATTTGGTAAGGTGCAATGAAACAAGTTTAATAAATGATATCCAGAGTAAAAATTCCCCTACAGAACAGTGACCATAACATAGTAGAATTTAATATTCCGTTCTGAGTCAGAAGCTTAGGTTGGAAACAACTGTGTTAAAATTAAATAAGGTTAATTGCAAAGGATGAGAGCAGAGTTGGTTGCATTGGACTGGAAAAGGAATTTAGCAGAAAAGACAATTGAGGAACAATTGTAGATATTTAAGAAAACAGCTTATGATTCACAGTAAAGATATATTCTAGTGTAGGAGCAGGATTCTCATGAAGGGTATAAACTGACCATGGTTAACCAAGGAAGTTAAGATAGCTACGACACTTAAGAACTTGAGGACCCTAATGCATGAATCACAAGAAGCTAGCATACAACTTCAGCAGATGGAAGTCAAGTTACCTATTTGCTTTTAGGTCAAAGGGAATGGAACATAAAAATAGAGAGATCTTGTAAAAAAAAACACTGGTCAGACCACACATGGAAGAGTGTGAATGGTTTTGGTTCCCTTATCTAAGGAAAGATGTATTGGCATTAGATGCAGTACACAAAAGGTTCACAATGTTGATCCTGGGTATGAAGGGATTTTCTTATGAGAAGTTGAACACGTGGGGTTTATACTCATTGAAATTTAGAATGTGAGGCTGCCTCATTGAAACATACCAGATTCTTTACGGGCTTGACAGTGCACAAAAGATGGTTTCCCCTTGTGGGAGAGTCTAGGAGGTCCGGTCATAATTGCAGAGTAAGGGTGGATGAGGGATATTCTATTTTGTCAGAGATGGTGGTAAATCTGTGGAATCCTTCACTGCAGAGGTCTTTTGAAGCTGGTTTATTAATTATATTTAAGCTGAGATAGACCAGTAAGGGCATCGAGGGTTATGAGAAAAGGCAGGTAAGTGGAGTTGAGGATTACCAAATCACACATGATCTCATTGAATGGCATAACTCTACTCCTCCAGTCTATGGTCTTATAGGACAAAGAAACTGCTAAGGAGGGAAAAAGATATGATACAAGAATCAGAGAAATGAACTGTAAAAGCTTGTATAGCTATATAAAAGGGATACAATTAGCAAAGACAAGTGTGTGTTTATAATAGGCAGAGATGAATTTTACAATAGAAAATTGCAAAGAAGTAGTTACTTTGTGTCTATTTTCAAAGGAAGATACAAGAAATCTCCCAGAAATAATTTAGGTCCAAGAGGCTAATGAGAATGAGGAAAGCAAGTGTAGCAAGAAAGTGATACTGGATAAATCAATGGGGCTGAAAGTTGACATATCTCAGGCCTATGATCTGCATCCATGTACTGAGAGGTGGCTTCAGTGACAGTAAATGTGTTGCTGACCATCTTTCAAAATTCTATAGATTCTAGAAGGTTGCAAACATAGCTACACTATTGAAGAAACAAAGGAGGAAGCAATAATATTAGCCTGATACCAGTAGTAAAGAAATTGCTAGATCCAGTTATTCTTTTATTCAATCTGTTCAGAGATGTTATGATGTATCTCTGGAGCAGGTGGGACTTGAAACTGGGGATCACTATCACTGTGCCACAAGACCCTCCTAAAATACTAGATCTATTATAAAATACTGGAGAGTTTGAGTTTATAGAGAGGATTGATGGGCTGGGGCTCCTTTTCCCTGGAGCATCTGAGGCTGAGGGGAGACCTTATAGAGGTTTATAAAATCATGATGGCATAGTTAGGGTGAACGGCCAGGGTCTTTTTACCTAGGGTGGGTGAGTCCAAAACTAGGGGGCATAGGTTTAAGGTGAGAGGGGAAACAGTTAGAAAGGACCTGAGGGGTAACTTTTTTCACACAGGTGGTGCGTGTATGGAATGGACTGCCAGAGGAAGTGGTGTAGGCTGGTACAATTACAACATTTAAAAGCATCTGGACAGGTATATGAATAGTAAGCATTTAGAGGGATATGGGCCAAAGTCAGATTGGAATGCCTGGTTGGTACCCATAAGTTGGACCGAAGAGTCTGTTTCTGTGCTACATAAAACTCTATATGATAACTAGACACTTAGCAAATAATGATCTGATTGGACAGAGTCAACTTGATTTATGAAAGGCTAAGCAACGTTGACAAACCTGCGATTTTCTTTTTGAGATGCTCTTAGCCCAGCAGATTAAGAGACAACCAATGAACGTAGTGTATTTGGATTGTCAGAAAGGTCCCATATAGGGATATTGGTGATGTGGATTGGTTAGGAAAACAGAGTAGCAATTAGTGGTTAATCTCAGCTTGGCAGGTTGTGACCAGTAGGGTACTACATGGATCAGTGCTTGGGCCTCAGCCGTTCACAATCTAGATTAATGGATGTGGCAAACAAGTATAATATTTTCAATTTTGAGGTTGACAAAGAGGGGAAATTTGAGGAGGATACAAAAAGACTTCAGAGAGATTTTGGGAGACTAAGTGAGGTGAAACAAGGGCATTAGAAATGCATTATGTAGACAGTTGTGAGTTTATCACCTTAAAAGTCAGCAATGAGGAGACTCTGGGTTTTTGCAATGGTAAAAAAATTAAACTCCTTTGGAGTTCGCTCCCACAATATCTCCTCCAGTCTCTTGGTGGAGCATACTGACCACCTGCCCTAATCTATTTACCTCCGTCAGCATCCAGAATCTTCTCCCTTCATGGAGTTGACACTGGATTGGTCCAATGGTACCAGGTTCTTGGGCAGATGGCCATGGAGCTGCACTGGAAAAGGACCTGAATTTAACACAACCAACTCCCAATTCTGTCTCCAGGTGAAATCAGACACCAGCCGTTTTTTTTTCTTGATTCTTTTTTGTTTTAATCGTACTGTACAATTTCGTTTTCCCCCTTAAGCAAATCAAATCCGGTTCATATCCAGTGATAAAGTCTGTTGGTTTCGGTAACACATACCATTACAAAAAAAAACAATGCAGGTAAATGCACTTTGAGCTCCGCGACTGAATCAGTGACTCACTCCAAACTATACAAGATTAGAAAAGTTAGTGGTACAACAGAAATATTCGGTAAATATTAAAGTTGGGGGGGGGGGTGTACTTTTTGCATACGGGTGATAACTCGCCCTTGGTGTACAATATTGGATAATGATCTGGAGAATGTAGACATCCAAGTGATAGTAGAAGGAGGATAGAACCCCACTCCCAACACAAAATCCCGGGATTTGGGAGATTCCTGTCGGCGGACAAACTGCGAAAGTTTGAATTTCTTCGCAGGCTTTTACTTGTTGATAAAAGTAACGACCTACACTTGGTGCACTGTCGCTACACACATAACTTTCTGTCTTTACCTGAGCTTCTCTTTTAGGTGCAGTCTAGTTTTTTTAGGCAGAAATACAAAACAGAAACAAGAATTCCTTAAATTTAGATGATCGTCCGGGACAGGGGGGGGAATCCCGCCAGGATTATGGCGGGAAGGTCGGGATTCAGGAATTGTCTGCCTGCAACCAGGATAGACACATGTAGTTCATGGTTACACTGTGAAGTCCTTACAAAAATTGATCAGTGAATTAGAAAAGAAACTATATTACAACGACAAAGCTGGCTCTCCCCCGAATTTCCGCGTCCCTCTCGTGGATCTGGAGAACCCCATAAACCGCACCGCCCCCCCCCACCCCCCCCCCCCCCCAACTTTCCATCAATTAAACAGCGTCAACATTTCATTCAGAATCCGCGCCGAATTATTCGCTCGGACACTCCTGAGGTTTTAGAAAAAACGCACGTTTCAACCTAATCTGCGGCTCGCAAACTGAAACCCACAAGTTTAAATTTTGTTTCAGGAATCAAAACACGCTGAAGAGAGTCAACAGCTCCTGATGAAGAGGGACCGGGTGAGTGGCTCAATGAATGGTCAAGTCATTGATGTGAAACACTGACCCTGTGCCTCTCCGCACGGGGGCTGTTGATTCTGCCCAACACCTTACTGGTTTCCATTGAACTAGCTGCAGTTAATGAGACAGCCGAACTGGGGTCGGATTAAAGACTGGTATCCCCTGCCCGGGGGAGGGAATGGCGACAACCCCCCACCCCACAGCAAGGAGAGCACCCAGCGGCTCTGCTTCATTGCTGTGTCTGTGGTCAATGTCACTGGGCCAGTGCAGTTTTAACCAGCCTTTGCTTGAGGGTCGGGTCGGGTCGGGTCGGGTCGGGGCTCATATCAGAAACATGAAAGAGAACTGCGTGCGACAGAATTCGCCCCGATTACAACATGGCAATTGGTTTTGGATTGAAGTCAGCCGCAGACTTTACAGGACCGTGCATTGAGGGAAGAGGTGCGGAGCAGAGAGGAGGACACTGTCCAGTTTCTGCCCCTCTCCGGCCAGTCTCTGAGTGTCCGAACCGTAACAAATGCCCGTGCTGATAGCCTCACGATGCTGCTTTGGTGTTGGAGGCGGCAGTAGCGCTGTCTGCTGCTGCTTTCTTACTGTCCTCACTCTCCCTCTCTTTCTCCTGCTCGCTGTTCCTGCCCTCTCGGCCCTTCTCTTTCTCCTGTTCGCTGCTCTTGCTGCTGTTCTCTCGCCGCTCCCTCTCCTTGTCCTGCTCGCTGGTTTTCCCGCTGCCCTCTCGCCGCTCCTTCTCTTTAGTTCGGTCATGGTCTTTCTCTCTGCCGCGCTCTCTCTCCTTGTCTCTGCTCCGCTCTCTGTCTCGGCCCCGCTCCCGTTCCCTCCTCCGGTACCTGTCCCGGTCGTGCTCTCTCTCCCGGCTCCTGTTCCTCTCCCTCTCCCTGTTTCGCTCCCAGTCCCGGTTCCACGCTCGGCCACGTTCTCGCTCCCAGGGGCGCCCGTATTCCCGATCCCGGTCTCTCCGTCTCTCCTCTCCCCTGCGGAACCGCTCGGCTGGGTAACGGTTCTCAGGCCGTTCCACCCGGCCGTCTCGCCCCCTGCCGGGGTATGGCCGGGATCTCTCCCGGTCCCGGGAATCTGGGCCAGGAGCTTGAGCCGATCCCAATCTCTCCGAGTCTGAGCCCTTCAGGCCCGAGCCAGGAGCCGGGAGCAACTCTTGCTGCGCTGGGGACTGGTTTCCCATGGGATGGGGGGATTGGTTTCCTATGGGATGGGGGGACTGGTTGCCCATGGGATGGGGGGACTGGTTGCCCATGGGATGGGGGACCTGATTGAAACCTGGGATAGGGGTCTGGCCTGGGAAGCGATACCGAGGAGTAGGAGCCCCCCTAGGGAACAGGGGCAGGGGTTTGGGGCTTTGAAAAGCGGGTCCTGGCTCCCGGATAAAATCCGAGCCTTTCCTGGGGAGGTGTTGGCTGTTGTTGGGATGTTGGAAATTTGGGAAAGGTCCCAGGGGCTGCTGCATGTTCCCCGGGTGGAAGTTCTCCTGAGAGTTGCCAAACGATTGGGAGCCCCGTGGAGGAGAGGGGAAGGCAGGCCGATCCCCAGGGTAAGAGGGACCTAGGAGGGAAGGTAGGATGGGGGTGGGTAATAGGCCTTTGGGAGCAGGCTGGGGAGCTGGGAAATGAACCTGTTCCACTAAGGGGAAAGGCTGGGAGAGGCCACCCGGCCCAGGGGCTGGTTCCTGGGACAAGGGGGGCTGAAGGGCCTCCGCAGTGGCCCTGGGCTCCTCATTGGCCCAGTGCGTTGGCTGATTGGGGGTGGGCCCCTCTCCGGGGAGCTGGCCTGGGCCACGGAGCTCTTGGGGAGCCATCTCCTGGAGCCTTGGGCTGTTGAAAGGCGCGGTGGCTGCGGGCTGATCGACCGTGAGGGCTGCAGCTTCCCCGGGCGCTCGGCCAGGGGCCAGCCTCCGGACGGCAGCCTGGCGAGGGTCCCTGCTCTGGTCAATCATCTGGGAGAGACCAGAGGGGGCAACAGGCTCCAGGCCTGGCAGCTGCCCCACACCAGGCTCGGGCACCTCAAAGAGCTCGGCTTTGAAGGAGGAGGCTTTGGGCGGAGGAGACATCAGAGCATCCGAGACGGAGAAACAAGCCATGGAGACACCGACCGCCGCTCTCTGCTGCCTCAGGGCTTCCTCCTGTTCCTCCACCTGGCGGGTCTGCTCCTCGATCTGCTGGTTCAGGCTCTCCAGCATCTTCTGCTGCTCCTGCAGCGAGGAGCTCAGGTACAACTCGGGCCCGAGCTCGATGCCCTTGGCCCTGGCCTCGCCAGCAGCCGCCTCTCCGGCCATTGGCACCATCGCCTCCTCCAGGATGGTCTCGTCGGCCGGGTCGTATGGGGTGTCCGCCTCGGGCTTGTACTCCTCCTCTGGGTCGTACGGCCGGTTGTCATCATCCTCAGGCTCAGGGGGCTTGTCTTCCTGGAGCTGGCCGAACTGCTGCACGATCGGGTCCAGGAGGGGGGCTGCTGCCTGGGATTCGGGCTCCGGGCTGGGCTCCTTCGATTTCTCGAAACTCTTCTTGCCCCCGAAGAGAGTCTGGAGGATGTGCTGCAGGGGATTAGCCACCTTACCCGGTGCTGGCGGCGGGGGAGCGGCTTTGGCGGCAGCCGGAGCCGCGTCCGACTCAGCTTCAGGCGGGGGAGAGCCCGGAGGGGTACCAGCCCCTGCCCCCTCTCCATACAGGCCCCTACCAGCCTTGCCCTCCCTACTCGCTGGCACCGAGGGTACGGGGTAGTCCTCCGGGGCAGCGAGCCGGCTCCTCTTCTCCTCGGCCGGGGCACTGTCCCCCCGCTCGGGCTCGGGCTCAGGCTCCGGCTCCGGCTCCAAAGGGCGGCGTTTCCCTTTCTGCCGGATCACCAAGCCCAGGATGAGGTTCGGGCGGTTCTTCTCCAAACCTGAAAGAGAGAGAGAGAGAACCGGTTAGTAAAGAGACCTCACCAACTTCAATACCCACATAGCAGGCGGCAGCTCCACTCCGAGACCAGTCTGACCTGGGAGAACAATTCAGTTAGTGAGTGAGTGAGTGAGTGAGTGAGTGAGTGAGTGAGTGAGTGAGTGTGTGTGTGTGTGTGTGTGTGTGTGTGTGTGGGGGGGGGGGGGCGGGGGCGCAGTGGTCAGAGGCTTAGGGCTAAGGGCCAAGCGCAAGGAGTGAGGGCTACAGAGGATGTGTCTGGAATGTAAAGAGTGGAGACAAAGGGGTAGCGGAGGGGCTGGGGTGGTAGGATGCAGAAGGGCAAGGTGTGTAGGGCAGAGGTGAAGGGCAGGAGCCTGAGGGGGTAAAGGGCAAAGACAGGAGGCTGAGCAGTAGAGGCTGAAGGGTAGAGGTGAGGGCAGATGGGTAGCGCAGGGATCAGAGGTCTGAGGGGAATTAGGGGTAGGAGGTAGAAGGATTGGTTGAGGGGTAAGGGGCCTGGGTCGACGGGGCGATAGTAAAGTTTGGTTGAAGCCCCAGTCACTGACTGGGCCTTAATCCCTATCGCAGATGATAGAGATTTCCCAAATTGAACGTACCACAAGCCCCTAGTACAAAGGGGGCACGGAACCTAGAGCCCACTCCAACTCAAGACCCACATCCACGAGCTTTATGGGACAAGAGAAAAGAAAGAACTAGAAAGTTAGGTGAGAGAGAATGTGATTCTGGGAGGGGGGCAAGAGAAGAGTGATGGGGGAAAGTAATCATGGGGGGGAAAGTAATCATGGGGGGGAAGGGGAACAGGGGGGGGGAATGGATGGGGGGGGGGGGGGGAACGGGACGGATGGGAGGAGGGAGGGAGAAAGTGTGATTGGGGGGGGGGGGGCTCTCGAGTGTGAAATGTTGGGTAAAGAAATAGTGCAGTGATGGGGAGGGGCCTCTTTCTTGTGAAAGACGGAGTTGCGGGTCATCCCTAAAAACTGGGATTATACAGTCTTTCCAACTACTGCAATCCGAGCGGTTTCCATTCCTCATCGGTACCATTGACAGAATGCTCCAGGTATCAGTACAGGAGCTGCCGTCTGTAGCTGGGATAACAACATAATATAGGCTTACACCTTTCAAACCGAATTAATGACTGATATAAATAACCAGATTAAAACAGAAGATAACACAGTACGGAGCTGGAAGAACCCAGCGGGCCAGGCAGAATAAGAGGAGCAGGAACGCTGCCGTTTCAGAAATGTCTGAAGGGTCCCGACCCGAACGTCAACTTTCCTGTTTCTCCGATGCTGCCTGGCCGGCTGGGTTCTTCCAGCTCCACGCTGTTGTCTCTGACTCCAGTATCTGCAATCTCTCAGATTTAAACAGAAGGCTTGTTTCGAGCCTCCTTAAACCCAAGTGGGAATCTGTGGCGTCCTTGGGCACTGTTGATTCCTATCTGGTGTAAATGGAAACTCCAAATAAATAGAAGACAAAGGGATGCTCTTCAGTTGCTCCCTCCCATTTCAAACCCGTGCCAAATCCGAGTCCGGGTAAACTTCAATCCGGAGTCGAGTGAATTCAAACCGGTCTTCACAGATAGTGCATCAAGGAGCCTCAGTCGGACATCATCCCGCGACACGACGGACTGTTCCGAAATAACTTGGCTGCTGAGTGACTGAATTCACTGCCTAGACTCTACATTACTAATGTATGAAGGGTTTAACCGGGAGACTGAGCGCCCATTTACTTCTGGCCTCAAGATGTTTCACAATCTTTGTTTTTAAAGATGATGCAAGGGGGGACAGATTTGTTGTAAAGTAGGGAAACGCGGCAGCCAACCAGAGCACAGTAAACTCTCACAAACGGCGGTAACACGTCTCCTGGCTGAGAGCAGCCTCTACTTCAAATATTGGTAATCTCACGTGTATTTTAATGAGTTGTTTCAGTACTTCCTGCATCTTGTCCCTGAGCATCAGCCTGAACAGTCTGTCTGTGAGGGAGCTCTGACATCACTCACACACAGACCACCATCACTGCCTCCTCCTAAAGCAAGTTACCCCCAGAAATTGCCACCTGCCGCCGCTAGGTAAGACAGAGCGTTAACACAGCGCCAAGTCCATCTCTACAGTTACAGCAAGACTACCAAAGCTCGTATAGTCAAATCCAAACAACACACAAGTAAATACTCCCGTGACACAACCGACAGGATGCAGCATCTCCCTTCCCGGATGCTGGACCGAGCTCACTGATGCCAAGGGGACAGACTGAGAGAAACGCCACAAGAAGGAAGAGAATTAAACAGGGATCTCTCTCTCTCCCTCCACGATCACCCTGGTGAGCCCTATGCTTCCCTCCCACCCTAAACCCCGGGGTGGAACAGCGGTGAGCGACGGGTATAAATCAATATCCTAACAACAAGTAGAGGAAGGAAGACATCTGAAGTCAGCCACCCCCCACCCCAGTCAAACCTTCACACCAAATACTCGCTCCACCCCGTGACCGAGGATTCCTGCAAGTGAACATTTTGCAGCGGGTTGGGGTTTTACAAACTAGGAAACGCACAGAACAACGTCCATTTCTGAGAACTCCGATCCAGCAACCAACTGCTCCTCTGTCACTACGCTTTATAAAAGATTAAAAGCGAAACAGTACCTGGTTAGGCTGCCTACCTGGCCGCTGAAAGGCCAGGCTGTGACTGGGACCCTCGGTACAAATGCGCTCTGAAGAGGACCAATACCAAAACGGAACATCTTTCTCCGGGCAACTCCCTCCAATCTCAAGTTGTTGTACAATTGAAGCTGGTTACTGGAGAACCCGATTACATTCAGAGTTTACCAGTTTTATTTTTCAGTAAAGGTGAAAGTGTTTTGGACGGGACACGAGCTTCACGCGGACACAAACTATTCTGCAGAACAGAACATTTATGTAAAGCGGTTAGAATTAAATTGCTCTTTTTAATCTTTTTTTGAGAAAGTTAATGGCCAAAACAAAAACCCGGGAGGGTCAAGTATTTTTATCCGGTTAATCGTGATTTCTGGGTCTCAGTCCTGGAGCTCTCCCTCAGAGACAGCACTGTGGCTGTCCCTACTTCATCAAACAGCTCAAGGCGGTAGGCACCAGCACCATCTGAAGGGCAACTAGGGATGGGTCATAAACACCGGTCCAGCCAGCGGCACCCAGCTCCCATAAATACATTGACAGACGTGTTCCATTACAAACAGCGACCGGTCAAGTATTTATGGGGATAACGTGATTTGCGGGACATGGGGAAATAAAATTCAGGGGAGTGAAAGGTGTGGTGATTCCGAGTGATGCGAAGTGAACGCATAAGCACAAACAGCTCCTCTCAAACATTCACACAAGAACTATTCAAAATCCGCCGCTCATCCTACAGCTTCGAGTCTGACAGGAAACAGCAAAAACATCGACCGGGAGTCGCTCCTTCTCGCTAGTTTTCCCCGTCTCTCTCTCCGAGTCCAGTGTTACCGCCTTCTTCAATGGCCATTTATCCTCAACCCTCTGTCTTACTTACACTGACCAACTAGCTTCCGGTAACTGAAGCCCAGTTCTGACGAAAGGTCTGATGATGAAGTCGAAACGTCGACTTTCCTGCTCCTCTGATGCTGCCTGACCTGTGTTCCTCCAGCTCCACACTGTGTTGACTCTGCCTCCAGCATCGGCAGTTCTTGCTATCTCCGGTAACTGAAAGGCTCTCAGCACAACCGAATCTTGGTACCATTTAGAATCATAGAAACATCATAGAATTCCTAGTGTAGGAACAGGCCATTCGGCCCAACAAGTTCACACCGATCCTCCAAAGAGCATCCCACCCTATCCCTGTAACTCTGCATTTCCCATGGCTAATCCCCCTAATCGACACATCCCTGAACACTACGGTCAATTTAGCATGGCCAATCCACCTAGCCTGCACATCTTTGGTCTATGGGAGGAAACCGGAGCACCTGAAGGAAACCCACGCAGACACAGGGAGAATGTACAAACTCCACACAAACAGTCACCCGAGGGTGGAATCGAACCTGGGGCTGTGAGGCAGCAGTGCTAACGACTGAACCACCGTGCCGCCCCGGGGCTTCATTCTCGGCGAAAGCTCGCAGAGCAGCAGGCAGCTTCGGCTCTCTCCAGCCACTCGCAGTGACCACTGCCTGATCCCTGGGTGAACTGCTGCCAAGAACTCCTTTCCCAGGGCTTTGAGACCATCACACCCACTCATCGGATGGATGCACACCACCAGCAGCTAACAACGTCTATTTCCAACGGGTAGCAGGCTATGCATATCTCAGACCAATACAATTCAGCTCGCTGAGCCCAAGGCACGGGCTCTTTTATTGAAGCGTGGTGAAGAGATATACTATTCGATTAGGCTCACTTTCTCTAAAACCCCAGATTATTTTACTTTCCAGGTTTTAGCCACAGTCATGGGAAAGTTGTTACTGGTCTATGATTCTATGATCTTCTTTCCTCCCCTTTAGGTCGCGCGTTCCGGTCCTAACCCAGTCTCCAATTCAAGGAACCCACACAAGATGGATATCCAACTCCAACCTGTACTGTTCTAATGTCTCACAGGTATAAGGAGGCCCTCTAGCGATTTCACCGAAGAATACCATGGAAAAGGAAATCCAAGGATGCAATGATTGAAGAGCTATTTCTGTAAGCAGGTGGGGAAGATGGAAGAAAGGTGGCAGAGAATTCCAGTAACAGAAACAGGCGCCAAAACGATCGCGCGACCAGCAAGGGAACAGGGAACCTGACGGGATGGGGATGGGGATGGTGGAGAAGATAGGTAAAAGACAGGGCAGCTTGTAAGCAGGGAATTGATGAGGAACATCCATCACAATGGCAATAAGTGTCGCCCAGTGCTGTCATTTAATAAGGTCCTAATGGAGTGCCACAGGGATTAGTGCTGAGGACACAATTACTTAGAACAAATATTAATGAGTGGATAATGGAACATTCATTTTCCTCAACAAGTATGTGGAT